TTTATATTAATTGATACTAATTAATACTAATTATATTAACTTTTATTAATGATATATTTTTTTTAAAAATGAAAACTGATAAAAATGACAAAATAATCATTTTTATATCATATAAAGACAGAAAGGACAATTATACAGTAAAGAACTATTTTACAACTTATTAACCAAGCATTACTTTGCTGTTTAAATCCATAATCTCACAGTTGCACCAAACAGGTTAATTGCTTATGTTCACAGCTATAAGTCATAATCTGTTAAGTTATAATCTATAATCACTTTTTCACAGCTCTACCAAACGGGGCCAACATATTAAATGCAATTCGGGTTCGGATTGCTTGGGTTAGCCATTGATTCTGCCCAGGCCTGGCCCGGCCCGAATTACAATTCGGGCATCAAAAATCTGCCCAGGCCCGTCCAAATTACAAGATATTGTTGTCCAACCCCTAAAAAAACTCGGGTTGGGCATGGGTTGCTCGGGTTGAGCCCGCCCAAGTTGCACCCTTAGTTTGGTGTTGCTGGGTGTTTTGTTACTTGGATGCTTTGTGCCAAAACAGCCAGCTTTTTTCGCCTTCTATTTTTCCTTGTTAAGGCCTGTAGTGGGAAGATAGAGAAAGAGAAGCGTGAAGTGACAAGATAAGTTAATGACCTACAATGTAGGACAAGATGAGGTTAAGTGCTCCTACTAGTAGTGAAACCAAGCCTAATAAATGGCCACTGAAAAATAGGCTTTGGGTGGGTGACATTGGTTTTTGAAGGGTGGATAGGTGGTAAATTATGGGGATTTAAGGGTTCCAAAAATTGCAACAAAAGGTAGTGATTCAAGATTGAAGACACAAAATTTTGGGGTTGTTCTTACCCCTTTCAATTCTTTATCTTAAATTTCCTTTTTTTTATACGTAAACAATTTTATAAACCGAGGCCCCCATGGGAATGCTTCTTGTGTATGAAAAGATGTCACTGCCAAAAGGCACTTTACACGCCCTTGCATATCCAAAAGCTCTACAAATTCTATACTTGGTCTAGACCTATGGTGTACATGTTCTTGGATATGGGTGTCAGTTGTGGGCGTGGGTCTGGGCTTTGGTCTTGAAAAGCTTCTAGGGTTAGTGTTGTAAGAAGTAAAATAAAGATTTGTGTTTGTGAAAAGGAAAAGGGTGGATTTGAATTGATTTCTATGACTTTCAGATTGCATCATTTCTGATAGAGTGCAATGAAAGGGACTGAATAACACTGATTTATGGATTTTTAAGATTAAATTAGTAGCTAATAGGTATGGGAATAGGTTGGGGATGGTTTGTACTTGATAAACTAGGGTTTAGTTTTTGAGGGAGGTGAACAGTAACACGCAAAGATGAAGAGATAGGAGAAGGAAAGTGGCACTTTACCCTCATAACGGTCATGAAAATTTATATAAAATCCAATTTAGTTTCTCACAAGAGGTGTTCAATTGCAAGTGTGAGCCACATATCCCAAACCCTAATCCAATTGTGAAGTGTCCGAAACGGAAATTTGATATATTTTTAAGAATCCATGTAACATTGGCCAACAGATCCCAAATATACAAAATACTAGAAATAAGGTAGATCAATATAACGGGCAAAGACAAGGAATATTCGGTACTATCAAATTGTCTTATGTTTCCTATCCTGCTAACTAAATATGCCACATCAAGCCTAGATGGATAATAATCCAATTATTTCTCTTCCCCACCCTTTTCCCTCTTCAACAACCAAGGCATTAGAGTTGCCAGGAACACCCAAGCCACACTAAACGAAGAGAGGGCCAAAGTTTAAAACTCCTCAGCCACTGAACAATAGTTGAGTATCTCTTGCACATGTAGTCCAGTCACAGTTAATTTATTAGATAAGTTTTCATTTACTAGAGAGGAGATTGCAATTTGAGAGATCTAAACAACATTTAATTAGATAAGTGAGATCTAAATTACGTTGGAACTTGGAAGTCAGCATTTAGACAATTGAAATGTCGAAAGATAAATGTAAATTTCCTACTACTAAAATCAATGTCCCAAAAATAAATAGTCTGGGATGCAGAGACGAGGTGATAAGGATGCAATCTGTTAAACCAGTCCAATAGAAACACGTGTATGGCAGCGTTTAGGCAAAGATGCCGATAAACCGTTAAACGTGAAACTAGTGACTTGTACCGAACTAGCACCTAGAAAGACGACGTGCAAAAATTTACAGTATAGCAATTATTAGACTTATTAAATGTGAAACTCTTGAAACTTGCTATCTGCGCTTTAAGCCTAAAGTAAGTCATCTCGGTCAAATCATTCCTGCCATAATAGTCTCACTTTCTCAAAAGCACGGTGAATTGCCGTAGTAGTCTTCGAGGTTAGTTCTAGCATGCAATCTCTGGCTCTCGTTGCTAAAAAATTCACAACTTGGTATCCCTTTGTAGAGATGTAATCAAACATGTAATTGTTGAACTTTTTAGGAGTTAATTTCCTGTAGGTACAAAAATGCATTTGTGTAAAGAAAAAAAAATTCATTTGAACGACTTCTAAATAAAATAAATAAAGCAATAATTAATACATGTAGAGATCGTAATATTTCACTGGTAATTCGCCGCCTTTAATAGCTTTAACAATGAATGAGTTATTCAATTGTATTAATATCTACATGAACCTATATTGTTGAGTTAGAAAGAGGCTACATTCGGTAGCTTTTAGCTTAGCTTCGTATCTGTCGTGTACAACTGTGAGCTGTATAACTTGTATAGTTTTAATCGTACCCAAATGGTCTCGTAAAACAACCCCGCGCTGAAGCATAAACTGTCCCATCTGTCTTAATAAATGATATATCTGAGTTGATTTTAATCCAATCAATGGAAGGAAGAATCCAAATAACCATACCAATTGGTTGTTCTAAAAGCAGAGTATTAATCATACTCGAAACCCTGATTTTTTGAATTTTAATAAACTCATGCGGACCCTAATTCGAAAATATGTCAATATATACGAAAATCTATATGGGTTGTGTCAATTTCGATTGTAATTTGTATGAAGTACGGAGGTGGAGTAAATATTTTTCTTCGAATTGGGTTCTCAAACTAATCTCAAATGCGGTTGACATAAAATAATCTCTATTTTTAACTAAAAAACTAATCACATGTCTTATACAAAAAGGTTTCATTTTGAAACCTACAAAGTTAAAAATATAATACTAACAATTTTCAAGAAGATATATACATAACAAAGACAATAACACTTATTATTATATGAATACTCCTCCTCACTTAGTGGATTATCTCTTTTCAATGACATGAATCAGTTAGTAAGTGAAGAGGAGTATATTCATATAATGATAGTTATTATCTTTGTTATGTATATATCTTTTTAAAAATTGATTGTAGTAAAAAACAACGCCCAATAAGTACACATTAATGTGTGTTTGGGAGGGGAAAGATTCAGTACACACCTAACCTTTGGCATAATGCGTAAAGTGGTGGTCCCAAGACTTGAACCCATAACCTCAAGGTTATTAGGCCAAGTCTTAACCATTAAACCAATGGTCACCCCTTAAAAATTGATTGTAGTATTTTATTAATTCCGCAGGTTTCAAAATGGTTCTTTTTTGTGTAAGAACTGTGATTGATTTTTTAATTAGAAATATAGATTATTGTATATCGCTCCCATTTAACATTAGTTTGAGAATCCAATTCAAAGAAAAGCATTTACCACATCTTCGTACTTTATACGGATTATAATCGAAATATAAAATCACCATATACATTATATGGACATATTTTTGAAATTGGGTCCGCATCAGTATGGCTATTTCGAGGAATTTATTTTAGTGTAGACAATTAGTGTGTCGAGTAAGATTAATATTCTACCCTCGGAACAACCAATTGGTAGGTTTGTTTGGGTTCCTCCTCCCATGGATTGGAATAAAATCAGTTCAGATAGATCATTCATTAGGATAGGTGGGACTGTTTATGGTTTAGTGGGGTTGTTTTCCAAGATCATTTCGGTATAATTAAAGCTATACATGTTATACGGCTCAGAGATGTAGGTGACAGCTACAAAGTTGAGTTAAAAGCTGCCGAATGTAGCCTCCTTTTAGCTTTGACAATATGGGTTCACGTAGATGTTAACACAATTAGATGACTCATTCATTATTAAAGCTATCAAAGGCGGCAAATTAACCGTGGAATATTACGATCTCTACATGTATGAATTATTTCTTTATATATATTTTTTTAGGAGTCCTGCAAATAAATTTTTTTTCTTTGCACTAATGCATTTTTTTACCTAACCCCTTAAAGAGTTCAAGAATTAGATGTTTGATTACATTTTAGGAGGGAAAAATAGGTTGTGATTTTTTTTGGCAATGAGAGCTAGAGATTGGATACTAGAACCAACGTCGAAGACTACTGCGGCAATTCGCCGTACTTTGAGGAAGTAAAAAGTTTATTATGGCAAAAATGATTTGGTTGAGACGATTTATTTTAGGCTTAAAGCACATGTAGCAGGTTTCAATAGTTTCACATTTATTAAGTCTAATATTTGCTATCCTGTTAATTTTTGCATGCTATCTTTCTCGGTGCTAGTTTGGGATAATTCAATAGTGACGGTTTGTCGGGTTCTTTTCCTATCTTCTTGATGTTTAATTCTAGTTTTTACTTATCTTTTAACTTTTTTGGTTTTTTAATTTTTGAATATATATGAACTGGTGATTAGTGTAACAAATTCTGATATGACTGTAAGCATATTGCAGAGTGAGAAGTATTATACCAAGAGCATAAGGGGTAGAAAATCTCCATGGATAGGCATTGAGGCCAAAATGATCAAATATTAATATGCTTTCATCAAATAAACAAGTTACTCATGTTCGTCTCTGAGAACAAAAATCCATTTTAAAATACATATAAATACGATATCATATCTAACATATAACCATATCCACGGGAAATTCAAGATACTTTTGTCATTGAATGGCTAGTTAACTCTTGGGAGTACCCTTTTTTTTTTACAGGTTCATTTCCTATGATTCCCCTACCGAGTACATAAAGACTCAATTAGGTGATTTATTGAGTTCTACTTGAAACTTTCTTTTGCTTCATAAGTAATTATAACGAGAGAAAAATGGTATGCGAGTTTCTGACATGTTTTTTTATAAAAGATACGTTGTCTCAGTCATGGTGTCCTTGCTTGTCCATGCTGCAGCAAACAGATGTGTTTTCCCCCCCAAAGGTTAGAGAATATTTGTTACGTTTTTTACAGTTATTTTTATTGTTTCGTGTTGCTGGGTGGTTATTTTGTTACTTGGATGCTTTGTGCCTTAACAGCCAGCTTTTTTTGCCTTCTATTTTTCCTTGCAAGGCATGTAGTGGGAAGACAGAGAAAGGGAAGCGTGTAGTAACAAAATAAGTTAATAACCTACAATGTAGGACAAGATGAGGTTAACTGCTCCTACTAGTAGTGAACCCAAGCCTAATAAATGGCAACTGAAAAATGGGCTTTGGGTGGGTGACATTGGTTTTTGAAGGGTGGATGTGTGGTAAATAATGGGGATTTAAGGGTTCCAAAAATTGCAACAAAGGGTAGTGATTTGAGATTGAAGACAAAATTTTGAGGTTGTTCTCACACCCTTCAATTCTTTATCTTAAATTTCCTTTTTTTGATAATTAAACAATTTTATAAACCGAGGCCCCCATGGGTATGCTTCTTGTGTATGACAAGATGCCACTGCCGAAAGGCACTTTACACGCCCTTGCATATCCAAAAGCTCTACAAATTCGATGCTTGGTCTAGACCTGTGGTGTACATGTTCTTGAATATGGGTGTCAGATGTGGGCGTGGGTCTGGGCTTTGGTCTTGAAAAAGCTTCTAGGGTTAGTGTTGTAAGAGGGAAAAGAAAGATTTGTGTTTGTGAAAAGGAAGAGGGTGGAATTGAATTGATTTCTATAACCTGCAGATTGCATCATTTCTGAAAGCGTGCAATTAATGGGACTGGATAACACTGATTTATGGATTTTAAGATTAAATTAGTAGCTAATAGGTATGGGAATAGGTTGGGGATGGTTTGTACTTGATCAACTAGGGTTTAGTTTTTGAGGGAGGTGACCAGTAACACGCAAAGATGAAGAGATAGGAGAAGGAAAGTGGCACTTCACCCTCATAACGGTCATGAAAATTTATATAAAATCCAATTTAGTTTCTCACAAGAAGTGTTCAATTGCAAGTGTGAGACACATATACCAAACCCTAATCCAAGTGTAAGTGTCCGAAACGGATATTTGATATATTTTTAAGAATCCATGTAACATTGGCCAACAGATCCCAAATATACAAAATACTAGAAATAAGGTATAGAAATAAGGTACATCAATATAACGGGCAAAGACAAGGAATATTCAGTATCAAATTGTCTTATGTTTCCTATCCTGCTAACTAAATAGGGCACAACAAGCCTAGATGGATAATAATCCAATTATTTCTCTTCCCACCCTTTTCCCTCTTCAACAACCAAGGCACTAGAGTTGCCAGGAACACCCAAGCGACACTATAAACCAAGAGAGGGCCAAAGTTTAAAGCTCCTCAGCCACCGAACAATAGCTGAGTATCTCTTGCACATGTAATTCATTCACTGATAATTTATTAGATAAGTTTTTATTTACTAGAGAGAAGAGATTGGAATTTGAGAGATCTAAACAACATTTAATTAGATAAGTGAGATCTGAATTACGTTGGAACTTGGAAGTTAGCATTTAGACAGTTGAAATGTTGAAAGATAAATGTAAATTTCCAACTACTCAATCAATGCCACAAAAATAAAAATTCTGGGATGTAGAGACGAGGTGATAAGGATGCAATCTGTTAAACCAGTCCAATAGAAACACGTGTAGTTTAGTTTAGTTTTCGGTTTCCGCTTGTTTAGTTTTAAAACCATTGACCAACTATGAAATTGTAATTTTGTAAATTTGTAAACTGCAGTCGACCGGAAGTTGGTTGCAATCGTCTCCTTTTCCAAGGTTATCAACAACATTTGACCATATGTGGCTTGTAATTTTAGGCATATGAGAGGGAGAACCACCTTTGGACTGTCCCAAAATCGGTGTCATTTGGTCTGAAAAAATGATTCCACGAGGTCCAGGGACTGACCAAGCCCAAAGCCTTTGAGGCTTAACTTAGGCCTAATCACCTCTAATTCCACAAAATAATTGGTCTTCTTGGAGTGACACAAATCATGGGCACTAACTCCTAAAGTCCCCTAGCCAGGTCCCTCCTTGTTCACAATGGGGTTTGGTCGGGTGATTCGGTTGTCCGAACACCCGAACAAAATCCGCACCAGCCATCTCTTGAAATTGCATCCCTTGTATTGTTATATGATTGTCACTCTGGTGACTCTTGTTCTGTTTTGTTCGTGGTTATGGTTATATGTTAGGTATAATAATGTATTTATATGTTCTGTTTTGTCCGTGGATATGGTTATATGTTAGGTATAATATTGCATTTATTGGTATTTTAAAATGAATTTCTGTTATCATAGACGAACATAGTAACTTATTTGTTTTGTATTTTATCATTTTGGCCTAAATGTCTATTCATGGAGATTTTCTAACTCTTATGCTCTCGGGTATAATATTACTCAATCTGCTGTATGCTCATAGTCAGATCAAAATTAGTTGCACTAATCAACAGTCTATATATATTCAAAAACTAAAAAACCAAAAGTTTAGTTAAGTACAAACTAGAATTAAACATCAAGAAGATGAGCAAAGATGCCGATAAACCGTTAAACGTGAAACTGTTGAATTGTCCTAAACTAGCACCTAGAAAGACAATGTGCAGAAATTAACAGGATAGCAACTATTAGGCATATTAAATGTGAAACTATTGAAATTTGCTATCTGTGCTTTAAGACTAAAGTAAGTCATTTCGGTCAAATCATTTTTGCCATAATAGTCTCACTTTCTCAAAAGCACGGTGAATTGCTGTAGTAGTCTTCAAGGTTAGTTCTAGCATCCAATCTCGGGCTCTCGCAGCTAAAAAATTCACAACCTGGTATCCCTCTTTGGGGATGTAATCGAACATTTACGTGTTGAACTCTTTAGGAATTAATTTCTTGTAGGTACAAATGCGTTAGTGTGAAGAAAAAAAAAATTCATGTGAACAACTTCTAAATAAAATAAATAAAGCAATAATTAATACATGTAGAGATCGTAATATTTCATTGGTAATTCGCTGCCTTTAATAGTTTAACAATGAATGAGTTATCCAATTGTATTAATAGCTACGTGAACACATATTGTCGAGCTAGAAGGAGGCTACATTTAGTAGCTTTTAGCTCAGTTTCGTATCTGTCGCGTACAACTCTGAGCTATATAGTGTGTATAGCTTTCATCGTACCCAAATGATCTTGCAAAACAACCCCGTTGAAGCTTAATGAACGATATATCTGAGATGATTGTTATCCAATCCATGGAAGGAGGAATCCAAATGACCCTAGAATTGGTTGTTCTAGGAGTAGAGTATTAATTATACTCGAAACCCTAATTTTTTGAATTTTAATTAACTCTTCGTTTTTGAATTTTAATAAACTCTTCGAAATGGCCGTACTCATGCGGACCCAAATTCGAAAATATGTCCTTATATACGAAAATATGTGGGCTATGTCAATTTCGATTGTAATTTGTATAAAATACGGAGGTGGGGTAAATGTTTTTCTTCAAATTGGGTTATCAAACTAACCTCAAATGGGGTTGACATACAATAATCGTTATTTCTAACTAAAAAACTAATCACAGGTCTAATACAAAAAGGTTCATTTTGAAACCTATAAAATTAAAAAGATAATACTAACAATTTTCAAGAAGATACATACATAACAAAGATAATAACATTTATTATTATATGAATACTCCTCCTCACTTATTGGATCATCTCTCTTGAATGACATGAATCAGTTGAATCAGTTGAATCAGTAAGTGACAAGGAGTATTCATATAATGGTAGTTATTAACTTTGTTATGTATATATCTTCTTAAAAATTGATTGTTGTATTTTTTAATTCCGTAGGTTTTCAAAATGGTTCTTTTTCGTATGAGACCTGTGATTAGTTTTTTAGTTAGAAATATGGATTATTGTATATCGATCTCATTTGAGATTAGTTTGAAAACTCAATTCGAAGAAAAGCATTTACCACATCTTCGTACCTTATACGGATTATAATCAAAATTGAAAAGACCCATATACATTTCCGTGAAGGAGTATATGGACCTATTTTTGAAATTGGGTCCGTATCAATATGGTTGTTTCGAGGATTTTATTAAAGTTTAGACAATTAGTGTGTCGAGTATATTAATATTCTACACTTGGAACAACCAATTGGTAGGTTTATTTGGGTTCCTCCTCCCATGTATTGGAATAAAATCAACTCATATGCATCATTCATTAGGATATGTGGGACTGTTTATGGTTCAGCGGTGTTGTTTTCTGCGATTATTTGGGTACGATTAAAACTATACATGTTATACAGATCAGAGGTGTATGCGACAGCTACGAAGCTGAGTTAAAAGTTGCCGAATGTAGCCTTCTTCTGGCTCGATAATATGGGTTCACGTAGATGTTAATACAATTGGATGAAATTATTAAAGCTATTTATGGCGCCAAATTACCCGGGAAATATTACGATTCTACATGTATGAATTATTTCTTTATATATTTTTATTTGAAAGTCCTGCAAATAATTTTTTTTTCTTTGCACTAATGCATTTTAGTACCTATAGGAGATTACCCTTTAAAGTGTTCAAGAATTAGATGTTTGATTACATCTTAGAAAGGAAAACTAGGCTATGAATTTTTTGGCTATGAGAGCTGGATATTGGATGTTAGAACCAACGTCGAAGACTACTGCGGGAATTCGCCATTTGAGGAAGTAAAGAGACTATTATGGCAAAAATGATTTGGTCGAGACGACTTACTTTTGGCTTAAAGCGCATGTAGCAGGTTTCAACAGTTTCACATTTAATAAGTCTAGTATTTGCTATCCTGTTAATTTTTGGGCGCTGTCTTTCTAGGTGCTAGTTTGGGACAATTCAGTAGTTTCACATTTAATGGTTTGTTGGGTTCTTCGCCTATCTTCTTTACATTGAATTCTAGTTTGTACTTAATTTTTTGGTTTTTTAATTTTTGAATATATATGAACTGGTGATTGGTGTAACTAATTTTGATCTGAGTATAAGCATATTGCAGGGTGAGAAGTATTATACTAAGAGCATAAGGGGTACAAAATCTCCATGGATAGGCATTGAGGCGAAAACGATCAAATGTGAATATGTTTTCATCAAACAAACAAGTTACTCATGTTTGTCTCTAATAACAAAAATTCATTTTAAAATACATATAAATACGATATTATACGTAACATATAACCATATCTACGGGGAAAACAGTACAAGGGTCATCGAGGTGACAATCATATAACAATACATGGGATGTGATTTCAATTGGTGGCTCGTACAGCCTCTAGAGGTGGCTCCCAAAATAGTTTAGCACTTAGTTCCCCAGAACAGGTAGTTCCACACAGCATTTTGTTCCACATGAAGAGCACTTTGTTCCACGTCAAGTGGGATCTTTCTAGAGTAGTAGTAGATGATTATGTATACATGCTTTTGTCTCTTTTTTTCTATCTTGATAAGGTTTCAATGATAGGTGTACTTATAAGATGCTTGAAGATGTCGTTGGTGAACATTATAATGGTGGTTATGATTTTGTTAAACTGTTCTTCGATTTCAAGCGACTTCACCTCAGAAAAACAGAGTTAGTTTTGCCTTACAAACTGTGAATGATTATGACTTATCCTTCTTTTGCTGGGGAACAAATGCAATAGGGGTTATGTATTCATCAATCCTGACTGATCCTGCCCCTGTTATCCCCTTCTATCAGGTTTGTTTGATTAATGTTGGCCTTTTGTTTTATCGTCTCCTCTCTCTCTCTCTCTCTCTCTCTCTCTTATTTTGATCGAAAAAGAACAGGAAAAGCTGGGCAGGAAAATGTATTGATTTCAACAGCTCTCTTCTTCCTTCTACAGTTTAATTGAACCTCAACCTGTTCAACTTTTCCTGTTCAACTATTGTTGAAATCAATTCATTTTCACCATCTCTAACTTGAATACCTAGGTCCTTTGCCACGCCTTTAAGGTTTGTTTTGCGTTGCTATAATTGGATTGTTGGATGTAGCTAATAGAGAAGGTTCTTTTTTTTCAGAGGCATTTAAACGAATGCAATGGGTAGAGACTGTAGAAGAAATGCAGCAATTTCTAGTGCTAAGATGCAGGGAAAAGCTGCAGTCAAGGCCCACCAGCATGGTCAAACTTGAGGACTGAAGATATGCATGTGATAAGGTATTCTCATTACCTGAGGAAAATATTTTCAAAAATTTTCAACTTATATTTTTGTCGTTTGGGTGAAATGTTATATCATGATTATTGTTAGATTTGTTGGATGTTGTCTATTCGGTTGATTTTGGGACAGTTCCCTTTTTACTTGTTTGCCCGGTGTTTGTACTCTCCTATTATCACTTCTTTGTAAGTGTTGGACTAGGAATCTTATCGATTTGCTATTATGTGGTGATGTGGAGTTTGTGTTGTGTATAGAGGCCCGTGCTTGGTGCGCTAACTCATCTATTTTTATTTCCGTTGAGTTGAGGTGTCGGTTATGGGTCTTGTTGTTTGTCATTGCGAATTGCTGACTTTTGGAAATAGTGTTATTTCACATGGTTGAGTTGCAATTTGCATTGAAATTTGGAGTTTGATTTTTGACACACGTTTCAGTTGAGCGAGTTAAAAAGAGGTTCTTGTAAGCAAAGGAATGTGGCTGTAGTGTCGGTTTGAACAAAAGGGTTTTGGAAGGAAAACAAGATTCTGTGTAGGCTAGCAAAATAAGTTGGGGGTGGCATTAGGGCTGCAAAAGAACTGAATTGTTTTTAAATAGCTCAAGGTCGGTTCATTTAAAGTTTCTTTAAACTTTATTTATTAAGTGAAATAGTTTGAACTCGATTTTAGGCCCGTTTAGTAATTAAGCAGAGCTCAAGTAGACCTACACTTAGCTCGATAAGTCTCGTGAAGATATAAAAAAATAAAAATATTGCTATTATTTTTTTTAATACTATGAAATCAATTTTTATTATTTTATTTTATTTTATTTATTTGTGTTTGGTATTTATGTAAATTTCCATGTTTGATTAATAAAATTTATTATTAATATAAGTATTCTTTTATATTTTGTTCATAATTTATTTTTTTTCAATTTTAATTAGCAAATTAATTTTAAAAAAAAATTTAAACTTGAGTTTTAACTTGTTTTTATAATTGAGTTGGCTCAAGTTGAACTCAAAATTTTTAAATAATTGACGAGCTAAGCATGATGGTGCAACTAATACTTAAGCAAACAAACTCAAAAGGATGAGGGGGCCTATTTTATTTTAATAGTGTAGGGCAACCTGGAAATATGGCTTTACTTGGCGTGGAATTGCATAGAGCTCAAAAACCTAACCTTATAGATTCTTTTTTATTTTATTTTATTTTATTATGAAGGTATTTCGTGCTCTGCTTTAAAGTTGACAATCAGATAAACTTTCACTAGTTACTTGAGAGATTTGAATTCGAGGAATGCAGAATGAAAATAAGCACTAAATCAGTTACAGTAATAAAAAAAATAAAAAAAATGAGCAACAACTGGATCTTGAGAGATCTGGACAGTTTTGGAAACACTATTTGAAAGTATGTATATCTGAGGAATGAAGAAATAGTTGCTATGCATTGAGGAGGCTTCACTGCTTACATTTTACATTTCCTGCTAATAACCCCTATTCTTTTTGTGTGTTATGTTTGGTTTGTCTCTTAACAAGAACTTCAGGTGATCTTTTTCTTCGCATCCAATCCATCTCAATCTTTCATGCTTTTTCATCTTGATTCTTGTGTTATGGCCTGAAAATTCATATTAATCCCTGTTGTGGATATGCTTATAGTCCTTGCATTTTATTGGTGTGGGTATTATGCATGGTGTGGGATCTTTGTTTCGCAATCTGTTTGGGCTTAAATCTAGTGCTCTTCTTGCTTCTGTGATGCCTGACTATCTTGGCCCCTTAAACATCACTTTCTACACATTCATGTTTATACTAACTCTAAATCTTTGTTTGATCTGCTGAAAAAAGGTACTAAGGGTCTTGAAGACTGCAGCGCTCCTTGGATTTTCTTGGATTTTGGTGTTTGCTACATTGCCCGTCATTCCATTCTGCATTATTTTTCTCTGTTGCAAACCTTTGTCAATGGAAGCATTTAGACTAGCTTGTTTTGCTATTGGCGATATCCCTTGGGTGCCTCTGTGCGGTTCGGAGAGTTTTGTGTTTATTTCCTGGTTGTATGCCTTATCTGCTGTTTCGTCTTGGTTGTGAAAGTTGCATCCTAGTTGTGTGTACATTCAAAGACCCTGACTTCTATAAAAACGAGTGTCAAAATTAGTCTTTAGTAGCAATATATTTTCAAAAATTTTCAACTTATATTTGTCATCAGGGTGCAATGTTATTCTATGATTACTGTTAAGCTTGACTTGGGGTTTGTAGTCTTCTATTGTCGCTTGGGTGTAAGTGTTGGACTGAGAATCTTATCAATTCGCTGTGGTGATATGGAGTTGGTGTTGTGCTTTGGTGCTCGCTTACATATTTTATTTCCATTGGGAATTGTTGACTTTTGGAAGCATAGTTATATTTCCTTTTAACATGGTTGAGTTGCAATTTGCATTAAATTTTGGAGATTGATATGTATCCTATGTTTGTTTAGTCATGGGATTAGAGGTCATGAAATGATTATTTGGTTTTATTGTATACATACTTGTTTGTAATTGGGAATTGTTGACTTTTGGAAATAAAGTTATATTTCCTTTAACATGGTTGAGTTGCGATTTGCATTAAATTTTGGAGATTGATATGTATACCATATTTGTTTAATCATGCGATTTGATGTTAGGAAATGATTATTTAGTTGGATAAGATATGAATCTTATGTTTGTTTTATGCAGAATGATAATTACTCAATTGACTACTTTACCATTTTCGATTATTTATTAAGTAATAGCAATATTAAACATATCTTTAATATTTTAATTATTTTTAATTAATTTATTATATTGTTTTTTACACAAATAAATTTATTTTGTTTAAAATTAAATAAATTAAATAAACAAAATACCGATAAAAATATGTTATTTTTTTAATTAAACTTTTAAATAAATTTATTTAAAAAAATAATAACAATTGAATAAAATATTAACAAAATTTTAAATAAAATATGAAAAAATATCTATAAAAAAATTATTTGAAAAATTTATTACATAAAACATCAATAAGATTTAAATAAAATTATTTTATTTTTAAATTGAAACATTTAAATTTTGTTAAATTTCGTTAAATATGATACATAATTAAATAGTAGAGTGGCAAAATGGTCATTTCACCACTTAATTTCATATCTCTTCATTTGTGTTCCAACCCCTGCTCAATAGGACACAATAGTCCAACACATTTGGGGCTAATAGTTCGGAGGGACTATTAATCCGGAGTAAAATTGGAAAACCAAATAATGGATATATATCCTATCCCACCCTCTGATCTTATCCCACTCTCCAATCCCTCGAAACAAACAATACCTAAATGTATTTTAGACACCTCTTTCATTAGTAACCTCGATATTTATTTTCTCTACTCTTCCTACTTTCATCACTTTGCATTTTCATACCTAACCCTAACCCAACACTTTTTTTTTTTGAACTGACTATTTGCTTTAATTCATCATTTTTGCATTCTATTTCATATTGAAATCAATAATGGAAAATAAAAAAGTTGTTTCCAAGTAATTTTCTGTGAAGAAAGTAAGTTTTAAATTGTTCATTGTTTTTTGCAAGTTAATTTTCCAAATTGATTCGACACTGAGTAGGGATCATTCACCGGATTTGGGCTAGGCATAAGAGATTTTGTGTCTACCCAAGCCCATCCAACTCAAACATTTGGCCTATATAATCCTGTCAAGCCCAACCCAGATATAAATTAGAATTCTCAAGCTCGTCAATCGGGCCATATACATAAGCTATTAAAAAAAAACTAAACATTATAATACCTATTATTTTTTCATAAATAAACAAAGGCCTATTGAGCAACTAATAGTTAAATATTCAATACCATATTAATTAAAACATTATAAAGTTTTTTAAACCAAACACACCCATAATTCTATAAAGTTCAGAGTTTTTAAAACCAAACTATTAGTAATATATTAAATTTCAAACATTTTCCTCTATTTCGTTATCCTCTTCTGAAGAGTTAGAATCTCCATTAACTATTGTTTCCGATGATACTAAGTTCCTACATTATCAACAAATAAATTATTAACATGAAATTAAAATATATATATATATATATACAATTAAAAGGGTATATATTTTTAATATATTATATAAATTTAATTAATTTATTAAATTAAATATGTAGCGGGCCGAGCTGGGCCAGAAATACAATTCCCAAATCTAGCCTGTTTATTAATTAGGTTGAAAATATCAACCCAGCTCCGCCTATGGGCTAAAATTATATTCCCTAGCCTTAAAAAATAGGGCTAGGCTAGGCGGGCTAGCAGACCGATGCCCACCCCTAGCAGTGAGTATTCAAACAAATTTCACATGTTTGGAATTAAGTATTCGGACAAATATATTTTGTTCGGCATTGAGTATCCATATGAAACAATTGGAACCAATTTTCTTGTGTTTGGCACCAATTATCTGAACAAACTTCATATGTTTGGAATTAAGTATATGGAGAAATATATTTTGTTCGACACTGAATATCCATATGAAATAACTGGAACTCAAAATGGAAGGATTGTGTAAAGGAGCAGAGACCTTCTTCGTCTCAGATGAACTCAAAATCTCTAATCATCGCTTGGAATTCCAAAGACCCCAAATGTGATTTTTGTTCCCCTATTTATTGGTAATTGGGTGTACAAAGTATATTTGTATAGGGTTTTAGGATTTTTAGGGTTAGAATAGGTATTATTTGGGTTGTCTAATCAAATAAATAAAATTTTAAATTCATTATCAGGTTGCTCAAAGTAATGAGGTGCCCAACTTACTTTTTGGAGTGTAAATAGAAGCTCTCAGAATATGGATATGAGCTAACTTGTGAAATTACCGAAATACCCTATATTTGGAAAATGTTAGTGGAAGGAAAAATGGTAATTTCAAAAATATGCATAAGGGTAGAATGTGAATTTTAGAATTTTAACAAATGATGTGACTCCATATTATAATAATAATTTTCGGAAAAAAAGAAGAAGCTTATTTAACACTTCCCAAATGCATTTGTGAAAAAACCATAAAATAAGCAAAAAAAAACTACTTCCTTCCTTCTTTCCAAAACACCCTTATATAAAGGAAAAGGTAGAGATAAATTCCTCTACATATTTCTATAAGAGTTAAAAATATTGAAAGATTACATATTAGTTAAAGTCTCTGAATTTCAAATTTTAATATGATAATGAAAACGTTTTGAAATAAATGGTTAGAGCTACCGTTAAACTCTACAAATACTACAATAAATTTTATATTACGCCTCCTTGCGTATCTCTCTCTATACTGCTTCAATCATCTTCTCGATGCCTCCACTATTATTGTTGTCGTTTATAACCACAGTCCAGATCTAAAACAAATTGCCGCTATTCGCAGTCACATTCCATATTTGAACTAAGAGGTTGTTTGGGAAGTATTAGATTAGTATACTATTTGACTTTTTACGAAAAAAAAATGTGAAATGTAGGTTGGGGTTGAATTGATGTGATAGACAGTTGATGTGATCCAAATAAGATGATTGTGACCCAAACAAGATAATGTGATAAAATAGCATGTGTTATTTTAGCACATGCCAAACAACCTCTAAGTGTCATTTACAACTACAAACTCATTGTTGTCTCTTTTAGATTTGCTACTTTTGTTTCTAAATCGACTAGTACTATCATCCAGAACTTAAAGTGGCTGTGGCAGCTTTGGTTGAAAGTGGTGGAATAATAAAACTTGATTAAGGATAGTTGTTTTTTTTTTTAAAAAGAGATAGTGTCCTTAAAACTAATAAACATATTTCAGCTGTTCATAAAGTAATATAAAATATTTTGTAGGGACCTAAATTAAAAAACATGTTAAATAAATATATAAATTAAATAAAATATATTAATAATTAGGCTAGGCTGGGTTTAAAAACGATTTTCAAACCTAGCTTATTGAACAAATGAACTTTAAAATTCAAACCAAGCCAAACCTAACGAACTTAAATATAAATTCTAAACTTTTAAAAATACGAGCTTTTTTATTTTTTATTATTTTTTATTATTTTTTCTGTAAGATTTGAAGAATATGAGTTGTGTTAGACAGTCAAATAGGCCACTGACCAGTGCACTTCGCTAATTGGAGTTCAGATTGTCATTTAAAAACGATTTTCAAACCTAGCTTATTGAACAAATGAACTTTAAAATTCAAACCAAGCCAAACCTAACGAACTTAAATATAAATTCTAAACTTTTAAAAATACGAGCTTTTTTATTTTTTATTATTTTTTATTTTTTTTTCTGTAAGATTTGAAGAATATGAGTTGTGTTAGACAGTCAAATAGGCCACTGACCAGTGCACTCCGCTAATTGGAGTTCAGATTGTCACAACCTGCTACATTTCCTACAACAGAACCCCTATTTAAATAAAGATTGGAGGCATGAAGGTAATAGAAGATTCTAGAACCTCCTAGAAAACTTGAGAAAATAATAGTCTTCTTGTATGTACATCTAGAATGATGTACACATTTGTATAATATATTTATATAGAGAATTCTAGAATCCTCTTGTAGGATAAGGAAAGCTTTCACGAGAAACTTCTCCATAGTTCATTTCTTATATATATTGAAATATTCTAAAGATAAGTTGCCTATAAATAGGAGAAGGGCTCATTTGTTTCAATGCATAATCCAAGACTAGTACATTTTCCCCAAAGTGAATACAAGAGTATTCTTCAAACTCTCTTTGTGTTCCTAGCTTCTCATGTTGCAATTCGCTTGGGTTAGGCTGATTTAACATCATCAAGAAATGAACTATGGAGAAGACCTCCTCCCGAAACCCACTCTCGGGAAGTGGATTGCGAAAACCCCCATTTAGTATCCTTGATTCTTTCACTATAGAGGTTGTCAATTCATTACTATCATCTTCATCATACTCTCTCTCCTTCTGCTTCTTGTTATTGATTTCAACGGAGCACGAATCGTAATTCCGGCAACTACCCATTTCTTGCCCTCTGATTCTTTGTTTCCTCCTTCCAATTGATGCTTCTTTGAAGAAGCCATGTGCGAATCAAATTCAAATTCATTTTGACAGTTCTTCATAGACCAATTTTTGACTTTTATCAAGTAAGTTTTGTTTGGGTATGTATCTATATATCTATATATATTTTTTGTTCTTTTTTCATGGATTTCTCACTTAAATTTGTTTGGATGCTCAAGAAATTGAGTCAAAAAAGAAAAAAATTAAAAAGAAAGCATGGGTTTTTGTTACTTTTTTTGCTTTTACAAACACTTGTTCACATGATATGTATATCTGTATATGTACATACCCAAACAAATGTTACAATGGTCTCTATAACATTTGAAATATAGATTGAGGGTGGTGAGGGGGGCCAAAGAAGCCTCAGTTGTTGGTACAGAGGCGGTGGCCCTCCGGCGATTGAAACTCGTGTTCCTCTGCCATAGCTATAAAATTGGGAAAATATTGGAACAAATTCAAACAAAGAGGAGAGATAAAATGGGAGAAAGAGAAATGGATTTGAGAACTGTGTTAGGAAACCAGGAGTTCAAAAGGATTTACGTG